TTTTTGTCAGGTTTGTCAAGGATCAGTTGGTTGTAGATGCCATTCACAATTGCTACCAAGAGAATATACCTAGGAATACAACTAACAAGGAATGTAAAGGACCTTTTCAAGGAGAACTACAAACCACTGCTCAACTAAATAAGACAGCACACAAACGGAGAAACATTCCATGTTCATGGTTAGGAAGAATCAATATCATGAAAATGGCCATACTGCCCAAAGTAATTTACAGATTCAACGGTATCCCCATCAAGCTACCAATGACCTTCTTCATAGAACTGGAAAAAACCACCTTAAACTTCATATGGGACCAAAAGAGAGCCCGCATAGCCTAGTCAATTCTAAGCAAAAAGAACAAAGTGGGAGGCATCACACTACCAGACTTCAAACTATACTACAAGGCTACAGTAATCAAAACAACGTGGTACTGGCACCAAAACAGAGATATAGACCAATGGAACAGAACAGAGGCCTCGGAGGCAACACAGGAATACTTTTACACTGTTGGTAGGAGTATAAATTAGTTCAACCATTGTGGATGAGAGTGTGGCGATTTCTCAAGGAACTAGAAATAGAAATTCCATTTGACCCAGCAATCCCATTCCTGGGCATATATCCAAAGGATTATAAATTATTCTATTATAAAGACACATGCACACATATGTTCATTGTGGCACTGTTTACAATAGCAAAGTCCTGGAACCAACCCAAATGCCCATCAGTCATAGACTGGACAAGGAATCTATGGCATATATACACCATGGAACACTATGCTGCCATAAAAAACGATGAGTTCATGTCCTTTGTAGGGACATGGATGAATCTGAAAACCATCATTCTCAGCAAACTGACACAAGAACAGAAAATCAAATACCACATGTTCTCACTCATAGGTGGGTGTTCAATGATGAGAACACATGGACAAAGGGAGGGGAGCATCACACACTTGTGTCTGTTTGGAGGGACTAGCGGAGGGACAGAGGGGGGTAGGGAGTTGGGGAGGGATACCATGGGGAGAAATGCCTGATATAGGTGATGGGGGGATGGAGGCAGCAAACCACATTGCCACGTATGTACCCATGCAACAATTCTGCATGTTCTGCACATGTACCCCAGGACCTAAAGTGTAATAAAATATACTTTTAACAAATCTTTTAAAAAAAGAAAGAAATGTGATTGGACAAAAAGGGTCTGATCTAAACTGTCCCCCCACACCCCACCCCTGCAAAAAAAAAGAGAGAAAAGAAAGGTTAAAATGGCAAATATGTAGGTAAACTAAAGAAATATAGACTATGTTAAATAAATACAAATTACAACTCACGGGATTTAAAAATACAAAAAAAAAAAGATAATAATAACATATTAGTTGAGGGTGATAAATGGAATTAAAGTTTCTAAGATCCTTATTCTTCCCAAGAGAAGGATGAAGGATAAAGATATTGTTAAACATTGGATTTGATAAGCATACATTTCTATGATAGCCATTTTTTAAAAGAGTAGTGGGTAATTTCCACAATAAGAAAGTTGAAAAACAGAATGAAATTGTTAAATACAGTTTACCCCTGAACAACATGTTTGAGCTGCATGAGTCCACTTATACATGGATTTTTTTTCAATAAAAGTCACACCAAATGTGCCTCCCCTCTGCTGGCTCTACTTCCTCCACCACTTCCTTCTTTGTCACCCTTGAGACAGCAAGACCAGCCTCTCTTCCTTCTCAGCCAACTCAATGTGAAAATGACAAGAAAGAAGACCTTTATAATGGTCCTCTTCCACTTAATGAATAGTAAATATGCTTTCTCTTCCTTATGATGTTTTTTTCTTTTCTCTAGTTGCATTATTGCAAGAATACAGTACATAATATATACCATACAAAATATGTGTCAATCAACTGTTTACATTATTGGTAAAACTTCCAGTCAACAGTAGACTATTAGTAGTTAAGTACTGGGGAAGTCAGAGTTTTAATTATGTAGGGGGGTCAGTGACTCAATGTCTATGTTGTCCAAGCATCAATTGTACTCAATCCCAGAGATGAAGAAAAGAAGAAAAAAGAGGAAAGAAGGAAGAAGAATCCATGGTTCAATTGTGATAAATAGCACAAAAGAAGGTAACAGATTTAAACTCAAATATATTATAATTATACAAAATGTAACAGATGCTTCATTAACATCTGCATTAACATTACATATATTAACTATTACACTAACAGACATAGTTGAAATACAAATACTGTCAGACTGGATGTTTTAAATCTATATTCAGTTTACAAATGATAGAGCTAAAACATAATGTAATTTATATTTTTCTAATATATTCTATTTCATCAAGATTTTCAAACTTTTAGTGTAGTTATACATGGTATTCTCTTACAGTTTTCAATTGCCTCTATATTTATACCTATATGCCAAATTTTCCATAATTTTCTTAATGAGACTTACCAGAATTGTGCCTATTGTGTTAGTTTTATTAATAATTAGCTTTTATATTGTTACATTTCTTTAACACCTATACTATTGCAAATAACTCATTTGTTTCTTTTCTGTTATTAATTTCTTCCTCCTGATTTCCTAAGGTTTTACTGTCATTTTCTAAGTTCTTAAATTTAACACTAATTTAGTTCCCATACTCATCTTCCTCCTTCCTTCCCCCATTTTCCCTGGCTCTCTCCCTCTCTTTCTCCTTTCTTCCTTCCTAATACAATTTTGTTAAACTTTTAGTGGTTGCTCTAGGGATTATAATATGTATTTTTCACATATCACAATGTATTTTGAATTAAAATTAAGTCACCATGTACAATAGTATAATTCTATTTAAATCTCTGCATTCTCTGTATTCTGGCCATGTATTTCACTTCTACACATGCTACAATTCCTATCATTCATTGACATTATTTTATTTTTAAATAACAAGACTCAATCGTCTTTTGGGGACAATTTTTTTAAATAGTCTTGTATTTTTACCTACACATTTGCCATTTCTAGCGATCCTCCCTCCTGTGCACCTGGGATCATTTGTCTCCAATCTGAAGTTTTCGTTTCTATTTATTGCAGTGCATGCCTTCTAGATACAAATTTTCTCAGCTTTTGTCTTTCACCATCTTTTTGAAATATATTCTCATTGGATATAGAAATCTAGGCTAAACTTTCCTCCCTCCCCAGCATTCTAAAGATGGCATTCTCTTGTCTACTGACTTACATTGTTTCTGATGGAGAGTCAGCTGACACTGTTGTGCATCTGAATGTAATGTGTTTTCTCCCCCTGGCTGTCTTTAAGATTTTCTCATTGTCCTTGGTTTTCAGCAGTTTGAATGGGATATACATATGTGTGATCATTTCTATACTTATTCACTTAAAGTTCACTGACTTTCTTGAATCTATGGATGGGCTTTCAATCAATTTGGGGAAGACTTGGGTCATTAGTTCTTTGACTATTTCCTCTTCTTGATTCAAATAAATGCAATCAGAAACGACAAGGGGGATATTACCACTGACCCCGCTGAAATACAAACAACCATTAGAGAATATTATGAACACCACTATGCAAATAAACTAGAAAATCTTCAAGAAATGGATAAATTTCTGGTCATATACCCTCCCAAGACTGAACCAGGAAGAAATTGAATCCCTGAACAGACCAATAACAAGCTCTGAAACTAAAGCAGTAATAAATAGCCTACCAACCAGAAAAAGCCCAAGACTAGATGAATTCATAGCTGAATTCTACCAGATGTACAAAGAAGAGCTGGTATCATTCCTACTGAAACTATTCCCAAAAATTGAGGAGAAGGGACTCCTCCCTAACCCATTCTATGAGGCCAGCATCATCCTGATGAAAACTTGGCAAAGATTCAAAAAAAAAGAAAACTTTAGGCCAATATCCTTGATCAACAAAATACTGGCAAACTGAATTCAGTAGCAGATCAAAAAGTCTGTCTACCACTGTCAAGTAGGCTTTATCCTTGGAATGCAAGGTTGGTTCAACATATACAAATTAATTAATGTGACTAACCACATAAACAGAACTAAAGACAAAAACCACATGATTATCTCAATAGATGCAGAAAAGGCTTTTAATAAAATTCAATACCATACATATCAAACACTCTCAATAAACTAGGTATTGAAGGACCATACCTCAGAATAATAAGAAAGATATTATTATTCTGAGGTATGGTCCTTTAATATCTAATTAAAACCCACAGCCAACGTCACACTGATGTTAGCCAACATAGCATTGGAAATCCTGGCAGGGGCAATCAGGCAAAAGAAAGAAATAAAAAGCATCCCAATAGAACAGAGGAAGTCAAACTATCCCTTTTTGCAGATGACATAATCCTACATCTAGAAAACCCCATAGCCTCAGTTTTAAGACACATTTACGATTCTAAGAAGCTTTACTGTAAACAGAAACATAGTAAGTGCTAGTGTGTGAGGCAGTTTAATAAAGTGTGGTCTGAAACCAGACTGCCCACATGCCCAGCTCAACCACTTACCACTTACTATAACTTTAAGAAAGGTCCTTAACCACAAAGTGCCTCAGTTTCTTCATCAGTAAAAAAAGGATGAGTGTATGTGTGTGTGTGTTTGGGTTGTAATACAGACTAAGTTAACCCATGCAAAAATAATTAGAGAGAGACTAAGGGGAATACAGGATAGAAGAAAAGGAAAGGAGATGGGGAAAACTATAAGGTGGAAGACAGTAGATGGGAAGAGAAAAGCAAGATAGAGATAAATACATGCATAACGAACATTTGAAACCACAGACAGTAACATCTCAGGAAAGAAATCTACTAAGATTATGCATTTCACAGTAAATTGTGTATTTTTTAAAAATAGCACTATAGCCAATAGTATAGAAATAGGATACTGTTAGATACCAAATAAAAAGGTGCTCACTGCTTTTGTTTCTTTCCTACTTGTTTTTATAAACAGACATAGAGTACAATATTTGGAACTATAAGGAGAAATTCTAATATCTAGAAGAGATATTAACATTACCTGTACAGAAAAATACTTTACTTCATCAAATGTAATTGCAGTGTTCTTCTCACTGTCGTCGGATAGCAAGCGACACATTTTTGTACATTTCACAACTTCATTTACAGAGATGCAAATAAATAAATAATCATAGTGTTGAACAACAACTGAAAATAGAATGCTATTTAGGAAATAAGTTTTGTTGCAATTGAACAATAATACATTATGAAATTAATACATTCAATTATTCAGATCAAAACTTAAGAATTAATCATGTGGCCATAAAAGGTAATTGTAGAGTACATTAAACAATAGAAAAAAAGTCTTCTAAAATAGAATTTTTGCCCATCACTGGTGGACACAATATAAGTAAAAGAAGGTTGATTCTTTCTTACATCCCTTATATTTTTAACCTCACATTTCCAACAAAATTCCTTTGCAAATTTTTCTATATGTTAATTTCAAGGTGACTAAATATATGCAATATATAGTTGAAATTTTTCCTAAGCATAATTATGTAGAAATTCAAAATATTTAAAAATATATCAGAATAACTTATTTTTAATTTGGGGATAAAAAGTGCTCTAATTCACTTGTCTATAGTTCTTTTATACTATATTGGTTTGTATTGTATCTTTCATAGAATGGTATGGAGTAATACAATTTTGTTTTCATGATTTAAATATTTTCAAAAATCTCTTTATACAGAATTATTTTCCAAAATTCTCTTTACATAAAAAAGAAACATCAAATCTCCATAAGACTGGTTTTATGCCATGATAAATCTAAAAATAAGCACTCAGCTTATTTAAAAGCACCAATATAAAATAAAGCCTTTTAAAAATATTTAAAGGAAGCACATATTACTTACAAATAAGTTAGCATTATCATATGAGAAGATATAATTTTTTTCCTGTAACTTATATGGTGATTTAGGTGGCCAAAAAACTTCTGTTACTCCCACATCAAAAGTGGACTTTATTGCCCCTGCCATTAAATCTGGGCTGGCTCTATGATTACATTAACCAACAACATGTAACGGAACATGACTAGGGTTGGAACTAGTAAGCCAGAAAGGCACCCACCTAGGGCACAAAACTTAAGGGGACACCAAAAACTAGTAATCAAGATAAATAATATATTACTGTGATATATTTTTGAATCAAAATTAACACAGGAGGAAAAAAACATGATAGGACTCGGAAAGAGAGAGAGATCCAATCATTTCAGCATTCCAGCCAAGTCTAGTCTTCCATGCATCCCCACTAAAGCAACCAGATATATAAATGGGCCATTTCAGATATTCCAGCCCTTTTGAACTGTCAGACAACTATAGCCAAGCTGTTATATCATCAGGCAGAAGTACCAACTAATGAATACACAGTAGTTGTATTATCAATAAAATGATAATAAAATGGTTACTGTGTTAAGCCACTAAGTTTTGGAATGGTTTATAATGCAGCAATGAAACAGTGAGATATAATTTCCATGATTCTTAAATCAGAAGAAAGGATACTCTTAGGTGTAAAATGTCTGCAATTCTTTATATGAATACCCAGGCAGCCAACCTACAACAATCAAAACAAAAACACAATGAATGCATTTAAAGCGTCAACTGTTCTTCCACCTTATACTGAACTCTATTTTTAAAAAGTGAAGCTTCACTTTGTTGGTTTTTGTCATTTGAAATGTTGTTTCTCATTAAAAATATCTAGTTAATAGAAATCATCAGAAAACAGAAACACAGAAGAAAAATGGGCAGGCCACATTCAAAGTAAACCGAAAATAAACAAGAATACAAATCCAAATAATAATTCATTATTAACATAAATCTGATCATCACTCTTCAAATTGTTTTTATTTGATATTAGTTGAGAACTGATAAAATGTAGCATCCTACATGTAAAATTAAGAAATATGCCTTATTTCAGACAAACTTTTATCCAGTATCCTAAGACCATTTTATTCATTCAACAATGATTCATTGGTTATAACTTGCCAGGGGCCACAAAATATTCATTCTCTTGTACAAAGTTTTTCTAAATGTTAAAGAAAATTGTATCATGTGCTTAACTAAAAAATCAAATATGAAATAAATGCAGGAACATTTGAATCCTAATATGAGAATTAGCCAGATATATTTAGCCATCTTTAGTCTTTAAAACCAAGTAAAAATAACAGAAATATTACATTAAACATTGTATATGATAGGAGGTAGCAAAGAGGGACAAGAAAAAATCTTATTTCATACCTAGTTACCACTGTAATCATGTTCAGAAAATAAAGATAACTGTAAATGAATGCCATGATATTTGACAGATCTACATGCATGTAGATTCTTATGTCTTGCTCTGTAGTTTGAAAATAGAGTAACAGATTTTTCTGGTTCTTAGCCTAGATATTGGGTCGTGTGTGTGTGTGAAAGAGAAAGAGTGCTTGCTTTTGTTTCTAGGAGGTTTTTTGGATGTGGGAGGGGCACAGGTCAATTTTCAAACTTTAGCATGATCAACAAATAAATATAATCACTTTAAAAGCTCAGTAAAATTGCTGATTCCCAGGCCCCTCTCTCAGAGATTCTAAGTTAACAGACCTTAGGTGGAGCCTCAAGTTAATGTTTTATAAAAACCATCCCAGGTAATTCTGATGTAACTAGATTTGGGAATTCCTAATATAGAAAATATTATTTCTGTGAATCAGGATGTTTTCTATCATTTCAGTGATTGTTGCAATGTTTTCTGATTCATAAAAATGAAAAATTCATAAATACGTTATCAAAGAGAACCATTTTCTGCATATACTTTTTGATTATCAAATAATAAATAACTTATATAGGTTTTTGAGGGCTACTCATACATACCACATCACCAAATGGTACCAAATTTGGCGTCTCCTGTGTTGTTTCTGGTTCTTCAGTATCAGATCCTTGAAGAGTTTTTCTCAGCATCTACAATGTAGATAAACTAAGATTTAGGAAGAGAAAGAAGAATATAACTAGGTGAAACATTAATTCAACTCAACTACTGTATGAGTCTCTAGTAAGTATCAGATCTCCTCGGTAGTGGGGTATTAATATGATTAAAAAAAACTCATCCCTACCCTCAATAAGTTAGCAGAGAAATAAAAATGTACACAAATATAAAATAGAGGGAATCATGAAAGATGAAGAAACTACGCAGTTTTTCAGTTTGTTAAAACATTGAATATTTAGTAGGGTATCTTGAGAAGCTTATAAGGAGAATTCCAGTTGGCCCCAGTATAGGAGATACCTTGAATCTGAATCTCTACTCAAATATATATATATATATATATGTGTGTGTGTGTGTGTGTGTATGTGTGTGTATATATATATACACACACATACACACACACGCACATGCACACACACATACACACATATATATGTATACATGCACACACACACACACATACACTATGGGGACAGGGCAAGGAAACAGGAATCTTAAGAGACTCTGGAAAAGAATAGAGAAGAGTAGGAAACACAAAGGAAGCACAGACAAAATCATCCTGAGAAAGAGAAAGTTCAACACTGAGCACAAAAATTCTGACCACAGGTCTAGGAGTTGGTAGTTCACCAGCAATGGCCACGAAGAAAGGACCTGAAAAAGAAGGACCAGAAGTAGTTTGTCATGATGAGCACTGCTTCTGGGGTGAAGGCATCAGAGAAGAAGACATATCCCTGCAAACATGGCAGGGAAAAGAAAGAAGGATGTAAGGGGGAAAATTAAGCATACCAGAAAAACAGAAGAAGAGAACAACAGGTTATGGCTCTCCTCTCCCCTTACCTCCCATCAATTACAATTTCATCCATTTAAAGAAACTGTACTTCAATACACTGAAAGAAGAGGGTACACATAAACCATGACCAAGAAATGACTACCAATAAGGAAAATCAGACCAACTCCTTTAAAATACAAGGAGAAAATGGGGAGAAATCTTCAGATGACAAAAATTCTTCCTCCAAAATAACAGCAAAACAGAAGTAAAAAACATTAGATTTCAAACTGAATTACGTATCTTCAAACAAGCATTTGGAGATTTTTTAAGCCTACAATCAATTCATTCATTTATTCAACAACTAAAACAGAAGCTGACCAAAGAGAAGAAAGAAAAAATGAAATAAGTGTTGATCAACTCAGGAAAGAATTTTTTTTATAAAGACAAACCATCCCAGAAATAAATACTAAATTACAAAGTGCCCAATGTAGCATCGATTCAAATAAAAGCTTTATAAGGGGCATTGAAGAAGACAAGAGAAGCCAGTGAAGAAAATGATAATGAGATAGAGAAAGAAGAATAAAGGGTCAGAGAAAAATGGGTGAATTAGAAGGCAGGAAAATGAAAAATCCTCAAAGAAGAAAAACAAAACAATGAAGGAGAAATTAGTGTTTAAAGTTATAATCCAAGAAAAATTTAAGGAATAAGAGAAAAATCAGTATGTGGATAGGACTCACTATGTGTCTAGAAAAACTGGCTCATAATGATCAACTCCAAGATATGTCCTAATAAAATTATTAGGCTTTATAATACACCTTTCCTACAGAAAAATGACCAAATTATCCATAAAGATAAAAAAGAATACTAGCATCATATTTCTCAAGAGCAACATGCAAAACAATGCAACTGTAGAGCTGTATTTTTATAAAGTTCAAGGCAAGAAAAGTCAAGCTAAGGATTTTTATCCAACCAAGTCTATTTTTATCCAACAAAGTAACAACATTCAAGAATCAAGGCTATTTTAAAGATACATGAAACAGGCATTCTAATAACACTTTACTCTTGAGCCCCTCCCAAGAAATCTACCAAAAGATGAGCTTCAACCAAACCAAAAGATAGTGGGGAAAACTTCAGCATAAGACTTATGGAGAAGACAGGCACAGTGGCTCACGCCAGTAATCCCAACACTTTGGGAGGCCAAGGTGGGTATACCACTTGAGGTCAGAAGTTCGAGACCAGCTTGGCCAACATGGCAAAATCCCATCTCTTCTAAAAATATAAAAATTAGCTGGGCATGGTACACCTGTAATCCCAGCTACTTGAGAGACTGAGGCAGGAGAATTGCTTGAACCTGAAAAGTGGAGATTGTAGTGAGCCAAGATCACACCACTGCACTCCAGCCTGGGCAATGAAGTGAGACACTGTCTAAAAAAAAAAAAAAAATACTTAGGGAGAGAAGTTAATATATTTAATTGCAGAGTTAAGACTAAAGTAAGGGAGAAGATATGGGTGTGTGATGGTTAATATTGAGTGTCAACTTGATTGGATCGAAGGATGCAAAGTATTGCTCCTGGGTATGTTCCTGAGGGTGTTGTCAAAGGAGATTGACATTTGAGTCAGTGGACTGGGAGAGACAGACCTACCCTCAATCTGGGTGGATACCATTTAATTAGCTGCCAGTAGGGCTAGGATAAAAGTAGGCAGAAGAATGTGGAAAGAATAGGCTGGCTAAGTCTCCTGGCCTCCATCTTTCTCCCAGGCTGATGCTTCCTGCCCTTGAACATTGGACTCCAAGTTCCTTAGCTTCTGGACTCTTGGACCTACACCAGTGGTTTGCCAGGAGCTCTCGAGTCTTCAGCCACAGACTGAAGGCTGTACTACTTTTGAGGTTTTGGGACAGACTGGCTTCCTTGCTCCTCTGCTTGCAGATGGCCTATTGTGAGACTTCGCCTTGTGATCGTGTGAGTCAGTACTCCTTAATAAACTCCCTTTCACATATACATCTATCCTATCAGTCCTGTCCTTCTTGAGAACCCTGACTAATGCAGGGTGGAAAGAGTATGCAAATATTACATTTCTTTTTGATGAAGAAGAAAGAATGCAACTTTTGAAAAATGGAAGAAGGAAGAGAAAAAGGGAAAACTATTTAATAGAATAGATTACAGCTTGATATGTATAGTAATAGGTAAAGGATTCCAATTAAAATTGGCAAACACAAGACTAAAAGATTAAGAAAAATGAGAACTAGAAAAGGTATTAATACAAAAGGCACAAGAAAAGGTATAAATACAAAGATGACCACTGGAACAAAAATACAAACTTTGCTAAACACCAAAATAATTTTTTAAGGAGCAAAAAAGATAAACAAGCGATGAAAAAGACACAGTTTAAGTATAACAGAATACATTGAGACCAAACATATTAGTCACATCAATAAATATAAACATAACACATCTATTACAGGAAAAATATGCTAAAATCATCTCAATAAAGCAAAACCCAAACCTATGCTTGATACATAGGGTGACTAACTATCCCAGTTTGCCCAAGATAGAGGGATTTCCTGGGACTCTGGACTTTCAAAACAGGCCCAGACAAACCAGGTTGGTTGATCACTCTATTAAATACAAGACAAGAAATGAGACAGTGATTCAGAAAAGCTAACATCAGGGGATAGGTAAATATATACTAAGTAAAGAGAAAACAGTTGAGAAGCAGACAACTGGACTCTGATGGTAGAGTAGAATTCAGGTCAAAGGCCACTGCAAGAGACAAATGAAAACACTTTTTAATCCTAAGAGACATATTCTGCAATAAAGATGTAAGAGCTATAACTTTACCCTTAGGATATACCTCCAGCAAATGAAAATATAAATCACAAAATTTTTCATTGTAGTATTATTTGCAATTGCAAAATATTGCAAACCTCCTTCTGAAAGGCCCAAAATAGAAGACTTGTTGAAAAAAACTATAGTATATCCTTACTATATAGAGTTGCATATATAGAGTATATGCAACCATAAAAATAAAATAATGAGGAAGATTACTATGAAATAATAGTGATTTATAGGATATATCGATAAATGGAAAAAGCAAAGAGCAATATTTTGCCAGAAGGCAGAAGAGATAATAAAGATTACATGTATCTGAAAAATGTGGGAAGAATAGACCAGAAACTGGTTGCCGAAAGAGATGGAGTTGGCAGGTGGCGAGGGGGCAGTGTAGAGAAGAGGGTGAAAGATGGAGTGACAGTTCCTTGACTGTATCTTTTATACAGTATTAACTTTTAAAAGTATACTAATGTTCTATATACAAAAAATAAAATTAAATCAACAAGGGTGGGGAAAACTCTGAAACTGAATATAAATAGGAATAAATTAGCTCAAGTGGATTTCATGTGAATAACAACACCAAGACCACATTGAAGGAAAAAAATAAAAGAATGCAAAACTTTTTAACTCTTCTTAGTAAATTTGATTCTTATAGTATATGGATATAGAAATTCTGAAACTATCTTATATATATTGTAGGACTGAGCAATGTATGAATGTACTGATGTTACTGGGAGCCAGGGTTTGTACTTTGGAAAAGGGAAATACAAATACTAAAAAGAGGAAGACAGGCTGGGCACAGTGGCTCATTCCTGTAATCCCTGCACTTTGAGAGGCCAAGGCGAGAGGATTGCTGGAGCCCAGGAGATTGAGACCAGCGTGGGCAACATAGCAAGACCCCATCTCTATGAAATAATTTTTTTTTTAATTAGCCAGGAGTGGTGGCTCATTCCTGTAGTCCCAGCTACTCAGGAGGCAGAGGTGGGAGGATTGCTTGCACCCAGGAGGTTGAGGCTCAGTGAGCTGTGATTATGCCACATACTACTGCACTGCAGCTTGGTGACAGAAGGAGATCCTGTCTTTAAAAAAAAAAAAAAAAAGAGTAAGGCAAGAAAGAGCCCTGTAGAATTGATTGGACTGAAGTCATGAGTCCACACAAGTCTCTCTGCTGAAAAGTCCTAGAAGCAATAACACCTCAGTAGCAATAAGCACACTTAGCACCCCATATGTTAGGTTTCTAAATACCATTATCCATTAAAAGAAATTTAATAAATTCAAGGCTGGAAAAGGGAATGTATAAATGAGGAGAGAACACCTTTTGTGGCCAGAAAGAAAGGATGTGTTCAAGATAATGTCCAAAAGCCATAGAAGCCACCAA